TGATGATGCTTAGAAATTGGAGTTCAAACATTTGCCACATTTATGACTTACAGAGTGGTGTAGTCTTAGGTGAAGTAAAATAAAGTTCTCTTTTGGTAATATTAATTATCTTTTTCCTAGCCGTGCATTTAGATCCATGAAGCTACAACAAAATGCCAAGTACTCAAGTCCCCAGTGAATTTTGAACAGGGGGTGGGGGGAGGGCTGGAGTTGGTTCTCACTGTCTCACAGAAGATTGTGGGCTAGTCAGGACATTTGCGAGCTGATTGTTAAAGACAACCATTATTAAAAATTAGGCGCTCGGGGAGGGGGCGCTGGGCCCGGAGCTGCAGCGCGGGAGGGAGCCGGCCCGGCCGGGCGGGGGAGGGGAGCGGGAGGCGTCTTTGTTGTTGGCGACCGGGCTGGGATCCCTCTCGGCGTCGGGGAAAGGCGGGGAAGCCGCTCTGTGTTTTCAGGATTCCCGGGCGCTGTCGCGCAGGGGAGCGGCGGCGGGGACCCGGGGCCGGGGGAGGGACGGACCTCCGGACCCGCACTCCGGGCAGGTCTCGGTGCTCCGCGCCGAGACGGTTCCGTTTCACTTCCTTTGCCTTTCTCAACCCAGGGGACGGAAGGATGAGGTCAGGTTCACATTCCCCTCCCAGGCTCGCTGAGAGATTGGCGGGTGCCTGAGAGCTTCCTCCCGAATGCCCTTATCTGCCCCAGCCCCGATTTTAGATGGGGTCTTCACGGGACTCGGGGATGTGTGCGATCGGATCGGGCTGTCGTGGAGTTCTTTTTCTTTAGTGGTGGAACTTTCATCTTACCTGGGTTCGAACGGGGGGGGGGGGGAGGAGCTGTAGGGGGGTCGTTTTTGAATTGGAAGGTTGGGTTTTGTTCGGAATTGATTTAACTCCGAAACAGGAAAGTTGTGCCCAACGAGATTGTATTGTGTGGGGGTTTTTGTAAAGGACAGTGTTTAACCTCGGCTTCTTGTTTGAAACAAAATGTTCGGATCTTTGATTCCTAGTGAGATTTCTGCCAGCGCCAGAACAGAATGTTTTTTGAAAAGATGCTTTGATTTCAGTCAGTGTGAGGTAGATTGGGTAAGCCAAAGGATGGATAACGGAATACAGAGAGGATGACCTTTAAATTTGGCTCTTTACGAAAGGTGTTCCTGTTTAATACTTTTGTGATGTATAATGCTTGATCCATAGGATGATTCATTGATTTTTTTTTTTTAAGCCTCAAATAAATAAAAAGTTTTGGAGAGCTTGTGGAAATCTTGTCATTTGAAACTACCTAATGAAGCTGAGCAGAAAGTCAGGTACATGTTGTAATAACATCGATCTGTTCAGATTAGCAGGGGAATTTTCAATAAGATGAGCTTTTTCTCCACAAAGAAAATCTTTCTCTCTTCATATGACTATAGAGTGAACTTAACTGGGTGAATATCTAATCATAGGCAATGTTTTAAAAGTTGTCGTGACTGCCATTGTTGTAATTTGGGACTGCCCAACTCCTAGGTAAGTTTTTATTTGAAAAGTAGGGGTAGTGGCATTACTTCACAGAAGAGTAATCATGTTCCAACTTACAAAAGATAGAAAATGTCTGTGCAGTAATTGCTATATAATTTGAAATCTAGGAGGAAGTGAATACCTCACCCATATTTTGACCTCGCTTTTCTACTCTAGTATTAATAAGGTTAATTGGCAAGGATAGGATTAGATTTTTAGCAGGGTAGGCAGTTTTAATTTTGTCCCTTGGTGTTTACTACTCTGGCTGATTAGTGGTTTATTTCCTGAGTAACTTTGCCCATTTTGAAATACTTATGAAATGACAACTGACAAAGAATTTTGTTTCCTGGGACAAACAAAATCACCATAAAGTTGCCAGGCACACTGGCTCATGCCTGTAATCCCAGCACTTTGTGCGCTGGGAGGCAGAGGCGAGAGGATGACCTGAGTTCAGGGGTTCCAGACCAGGATGGGCAACTTGGTGAGACTTCGTCTCTACAATAAATCAAAAAAGTAGCCTGGTATGGTAGTGCACACCTGTGGTTCCAGCTACTTGGAAGACTGAGTCAGAAGGATCACCTGAGCCCAGCAGGTCAAGAGGTCGAGACTGCGGTGACCATGAGCTTGCCACTGCACTCCACCTGGGTGACAGAGTGAAACTCCTACTCAAAA